CTGTCATGGTGTTGAGAGAGATCTGTACTGGCCAATTTAGTGAGAGAGGTTCTGTCATATAGGAGGTAGAAAGGTCTGTCATTTTAGGGGAGAGGTCTTCATTTACGAGAGAGACGCGTCATCTCATTATAGTGAGAGAGAGGTCTGTCCATTAAAGTGAGATGGGTCTGTCATTATAAGGGAGAGAGATCTGTCAAGTTAGTGAGAGTATCTGTCTATTAGGAGTGAGATCTGCATTATAGTGAGAGAGATCTGCTCATTATTAGTGAGGAGGTATGTTTCATTATAGTGAGAGAGATCTGTCATTATAGTGAGTGAGGTCTTTCATTATAGTGAGAGAGATCTGTCATTATAGTGACAGAGGTCTGTCATTATAGTGAGAGAGGTCTGTCATTATAGTGAGATGGGTCTGTCATTTAGTGAGAGAGATCTGTCTTCATTAGTGTGAGTGGATCTGTCATTATATGACGAGAATCTGTAATTATAGTGGAGAGGTATGTCATTATTGTGATGAGAGGTTCTGCCATTATAGTGAGGGATGTCTGTCATTATTGTGAGAGAGGTCTGCCATTATAGTGAGAGAGGTCTGTCATTATAGTGAGAGAGGTCTGTCATTATAATGAGAGAGGTCTGTCATTATAGTGAGAGAGATCTGTCATTATAGTTTAAAGAGGTATGTCATTAATAGTGAGACGAGATCTGTCATTATAGTGAGAAAGAGGTCTGTCTTTATGTGAGGAGAGAGATCTGTCATTATAGTGAGAGAGGTCTGTCATTATAGTGAGATAGATCTGTCATTATAGTGAGGGAGGACTGTCATCATAGTGAGAGAGGTCTGTCATTATAGTGAGATAAATCTCGTCCATTAGAGAGTAATGACAGGACAGAGTGGATACCTGAGGATGTGGAGGGATCTGGTCATTATAGTGAGATAGATCTTGTCATTCATAGTGGAGAGCAGGTCTGTTATTATAGTGAGATAGATCGTCATTATAGTGAAGAGAGATCTGTCACATTAGTCGTTTGATCTAGTCCAGGATAAGCAAAGTTTATAGTGACAGAGGTCTGTCATTATAGTGAGATAGATCTGTCATAATAACTAATGAGGTCTGTCATTATAGTGAGAGAGATCTGTCATTATAGTGAGAGAGATCTGTCATTATAGTGAGATAGATCTGTCATTATAGTGAGAGAGATCTGTCATAGTGAGAGAGGTCTGTCATTATAGTGAGATAGATCTGTCATTATAGTGAGAGAGGTCTGTCATTATTGTGAGAGAGATCTGTCATTATAGTGAGATAGATCTGTCATTATAGTGAGAGAGGTCTGTCATTACAGTGAGATAGATCTGTCATTATAGTGACACAGGTCTGTCATTATAGTGAGATAGATCTGTCATAATAACTAATGAGGTCTGTCATTATAGTGAGAGAGATCTGTCATTATAGTGAGAGAGATCTGTCATTATAGTGAGAGAGATCTGTCATTATAGTGAGAGAGATCTGTCATTATAGTGAGAGAGGTCTGTCATTATAGTGAGATACATCTGTCATTATAGTGAGAGAGGTCTGTCATTATTGTGAGAGAGATCTGTCATTATAGTGAGAGAGATCTGTCATTATAGTGAGAGAGATCTGTCATTATAGTGAGAGAGGTCTGTCATTATAGTGAGAGAGGTCTGTCATTATAGTGAGAGAGGTCTGCCATTATAGTGAGAGAGATCTGTCATTATAGTGAGAGAGGTCTGTCATTATAGTGAGAGAGGTCTGTCATTATAGAGAGAGAGAGATCTGTCATTATTGTGAGAGAGGTCTGTCATTATAGTGAGTTAGATATGTTATTATAGTGAGAGAGATTTGTCATTATAGTGACAGAGGTCTGTCATTATAGTGAGATAAGATCTGTCATACAGTGAGAGAGGTCTGTCATTATTGCGAGAGAGATCTGTCATTATAGTGAGAGAGATCTGTCATTATAGTGAAAGAGGTCTGTCATTATAGTGAGAGAGGTCTGTCATTATAGTGAGAGAGGTCTGTCATTATAGTGAGAGAGAGCAATCATTATAGTGAGAGAGGTTTGTCAATTATAGGGTGGTAGAGTGTCTGTCATTATAGTGAGTGCAGAGAGAGGTCTGTCATAACTGAGAGATCTGTCATATAGTGAGAGAGTTCTTTCATTGTAGTGATGAGAGGTTCTGTCATTGTATGAGGACAGGTCTGTCTTGTAGTGAGGAGAGGTCTGTCATTCATATGAGAGAGGAATGTCATTGTAGTGAGAGAGGTCTGTCATTTGTAGTGAGAGAGGTCTGTTCTTTGTGGTGGAACAGATGTCTGTCAAATTTTCTATAGTGACGAGAGGTATGTCTTTATAGTAAGAGAGGTATGTCATTGTAGTGAGAGAGGTCTGTCATTGTAGTGAGAGAGATCTGTCATTGTAGTGAGAGAGGTTTGTCATTATAGTAAGAGAGATCTGTTATTGTAGTGTTAGAGGTCTGTCATTGTAGTGAGAAAGGTCTGTCATTATAGTAAGAGAGGTCTGTCATTGTAGTGAGAGACGTCTATCATTATAGTGAGAGGGGTCTGTCATTGTGGTTTAGAGAGGTCTGTCATTATAGTGAGAGAGGTCTGTCATTATAGTGAAAGAGGTCTGTCATAAAGTGAGAGAGGTCTTGTAATTATAGTTGAGAGAGGTCTGTCATTATAGTGAGAGAGGTCTGTCATTATAGTGAGAGAGGTCTGCCATTATAGTGAGAGAGGTCTGTCATTGTGTTGAGAGAGATCCGTCAATGTAGCGAGAGAGGTCTGTTATTATAGTGAGAGAGGTCTGTCATTGTAGTGAGAGAGGTCTGTCAATGGAGTGAGAGAGGTCTGTCATTATACTGAGAGAGATCTGTCATTATAGTGAGAGAGGTCTGTCATTGTAGTGAGAGAGGTCTGTCATTATAGTGAGAGAGGTGTGTCATTGTAGTGAGAGAGGTCTGTCATTATAGTGAGAGAGGTCTGTCATTGTAGTCAGTGAGGTCTGTCATTGTAGTGGGACCGGTCTTTCATTGTAGTGAGGGAGATCTTTGAATGTAGTGACAGAGGTCTGTCATTATAGTGAGATGTCTGTCACTGTAGTGAGTGAGGTCTGTCATTGTAGTGAGAGAGGTCTGTCATTGTAGTGAGAGAAGTTGTCATTTTAGTTGAGGATCAGCGTCTGTCATTTTAGTGAGAGAGGCTGTCATTGTCGTGAGAAGTCTGTCTTTGTTAGTTTTGGGGGAGAGGTCTGGTCATGGTAGTGAGAGTGGTCTGTCAATGTAGTGAGAGAGAGTCTGTCATTATAGTGAAAATGTCTGTTTCATTGGTGAGAGAGGTCTGTCATTGTAGTGAAGAGGGTCTGTCATTGTAGTGATAGAGGTCTGTCATTGTAGTGAGAGAGGGCCCCTGTTCATTGTAGTGAGAGAGGGTCTGTCCATTGTGTGAGAGTCTGTCATTGTAGTGAGAGGTTGTCCATTGTTGTGGAGAGGTCTGCAATGTCAGTGCGGAGAGTCTTCGTCATTATTGTGAGAAAATGTTGTCATTGTAGAATGAGAGAGGTCTGTTTTGTAGTGAGAGAGGTTGTCAATTGTAGTGATAGAGGTCTGTCATTGTAGTGAGAGAGGCCTGTCATTGTAGTGAGAGAGGTCTGTCATTGTAGTGAGAAGTCTGTCATTGTAGTGAGAGGTCTGTCATTGTAGTGAGAGAGGTCTGTCAATGTAGTGAGAGAGGTCTGTCATTATAGTGAGAAATGTCTGTCATTGTAGTGAGAGAGGTCTGTCATTGTAGTGAGAGAGGTCTGTCATTGTAGTGAGAGAGGCCTGTCATTGTAGTGAGAGAGGTCTGTCATTGTAGTGAGAGGTCTGTCATCGTAGTTAAAGGTCTGTCATTGTACTGAGAGGTCTGTCATTGTAGTGAGAGAGGTCTGTCATTGTAGTGAGAGAGGTCTGTCATTGTAGTGAGAGAGGTCTGTCATTGTAGTGAGAGGTCTGTCATTGTAGTTAAAGGTCTGTCATTGTAGTGAAAGGTCTGTCATTGTAGTGAGAGGTCTGTCATTGTAGTGAGAGGTCTGTCATTGTAGTGAGAGGTCTGTCATTGTAGTGAGAGGTCTGTCATTGTAGTGAGAGGTCTGTCATTGTAGTTAAAGGTCTGTCATTGTAGGTAGAGAGGTCTGTCATTGCATTGAGAGAGGTCTGTCATTATCCTCCTTAAATTCATAATATATATATATATATATATATATATATATATATATATATATATATATATATATTGCATCAATTACCCAAGAATAAAGATAGAAACAAAATTCCCATCAATAAAAGGGTTATCTCCTCTTTCTTTCCTTTCTACTTTTGGCTGATGTTTTTAGATTTTTGTCACCGAAGTGGCTAATTTATTGTGCATCACCACATGCATCCTGTGGACGGTAGTGCAAGAGCATATGGATACACGAAAGGTCTACGAACTAGACCCCAAAAGGGTTAACAGGAATACACATATGGATTTATGTCAACAGTTCACTTATCAGTTACAAGCAAATTACGGAAATTAGCTTAATATATCTGATATCTTATTTTCATTATTAAGATATCTTGATACATCACATAGGTTATTATACTGTCTGTCTCTATATTCCTCAATAAGTGGAGGTCGGAGGATCTAGTCTCTTTTGTTTAAAACACTAACAATTTACTAATAAAAGCTTTTCTCTCTCTCTCTCTCTCTCTCTCTCTCTCTCTCTCTCTCTCTCTGTCTCTCTCACCACCTCTTTCACCTCCTATCTCTACCCTTGAGACCCTTCACGTCCTATATCCCTCCCTTCTGATCGACTATCGTTGCCTCAGACACCTAGCCAGTACACGAGAGTCTAGCTAGGTCTGGACACTGCTGATCTCAGCACAGCCTCAGCATGGACAGTGCCAGTCCTCTTTCCCCACCCATGTACTCCCACATTTCCTCCTCCCTCTCTCCCTTACTGACCTGACCACCCTCATGACCTGGTGAAGGGCGTCCTGGTGACCCTTGATCAGTTTGTCTTGCACTCGAAGTTGTTCCTCGATGTTCAGAGCCATAGTCTTAAGCACGGTGAACTGTTCAGACACTTGCTTCTCCAGTAGCACGAACTTCTCGTTCAGCTCACCTGTGTACAGGTAGCACAGGTAGCACAGGTAACACAGGTAGCACATCATCAATTAGGGGAAAAAAGAAAGGAAATTGTTAATGCAAAACATTCGTAATAATTTGCTATTCACGGGAGTAAACAAAGTTTTATGGAAAAGAATAAATTCCCATTAAAGGAAATAAAGAGCTATGGGAGAGAATAAAGTCCTATGGCAGGGAATAAAGGGCCGTGGAAGGGTGTAAAGTCTTCTGACAGGATAAAAAGAGCCATGGAAGGGAGTAAAGTTCTCTGACAGGGAATAAAGGGCCATAGAAGGGAGTAAAGTTCTCTGACAGGGAATAAAGGGCCATGGAAGGGAGTAAAGTTCTCTGACAGGGAATAAAGGGCCATGGAAGGGAGTAAAGTTCTCTGACAGGAAATAAAGTGCTATAGGAGAGAAAGAGGTTATGGGATTGACTTGATTCGTTGATAGATTGTTTGACGTGGTCATTAACGAGCGTAGGCTTAAGAGAGTAATGAGAACCTTTACTGACACTAACAGATACACTGCTACCATCATGTCGGAGTGTAATACCATGTCTACCCATGGTGTGGCTGTAGACTGTGTCTTGGGAAGTAGGTTGGGTAAGGTTCGTCAGGAAGCAGGACAAGTGTGTTCTGACGCGGGTCGTTGCCTTGAAGACAAGTTGAGGAAGAAGAAGAAGACGAAGAAGAGGAAGAGGAAGAAGGAGAAATCCTGCAGTAGGTGAGACTCGGTGACTGTGTGTGTGTGTGTGTATCAAATACAAACACGATATATCTTTCTACTAAGCCTTCACGTTGTGGCTGTTGATGCTGCTATTCTCAGCAGGCTACGATAAGGAATAACAGGGATCATAATCATATTATCCTGCCCATTTCAGTATCCTGCCAGCTCTATAATCCGGCCAACTTCCTTATCTAGTCAGCTCAATTATCTGTCAACTCAGGTAGCGAGCCAGCTGCTATGTATAAAGGAGCTGGAGCTTAATCACCTGTGATATAATATCCCAGCAGTTCTGTTAGAAGCAGCAACGGAATTATCTGGGCTGGAGAAACGCCAGACGGAATGTGTGAGGGAATATTGTTGAGAGATAGAGACAGATAGACAGGGAGACAGAGAGACAGGGAGACAGAGAGACAGGGAGACAGAGAGGCTAGACAACCCACCGTCATCACCTCACCTTCCTGACGTCTAGATTTGCATTTTCTTCTGCAAATAAAGACACACGTCGCAGAAAAAGCTTTTAATGTGACAAGCCTTGGTACTGATAAGCTTTCTCTCTACACTGGCGAAACATAAGCGTATGCTAAATAACAGCTAGTATGCTTGCAGTTATTGACGGAGGATCGATCCTGTGCTACTTGCGCTGATTGACGCTTCACTTGCATATACAAAACGTCTGCAAAGAGCGAAATGTAGCACAGTAAAAACGTATTGCACATTCATTACTGTGGGCAACTCGCTCTTGTGTCCAGGTCTGTTATTTGTTTTTTTTTGGGCTGTTTATATTATTTGTTACACATTATTATTTAGAATTAGTAATAACGAAGAGACGCGTTAATGTAAGGCAGTTATGTTCGTTGGCAGGATACGTTATCGTTCGTGGTAAGTTGAGGAACTGGTAACTGGATCCCGGATTGTACTGAGAGTGCGGCTTCTGTTAGTGTTTGTAGTAGTGATGGTGGTGGTGGTGGTTTGGGTTGTGGTGGTGGTGGTGGTGGTGGTGGTGGTGGTGGTGGTGTGGTGGTGGTGGTGGTGGTGGTGGTGGGGGTGGTGGTGGTGGTGTGTGGTGGTGGTGGTTGTGGTGGTGGTGGTGGTGGTGGTGGTGGTGGTGTGGTGTGGTGGTGGGTGGTGGTGGTGGTGGTGGTGGTGTGGTGGTGGTGGTGGTGGTGGTGGTAGTGGTGTGTGGTGGTGGTGGTGGTGGTGGTGGGGTGGTGGTGGTGGTGGTGGTGGTGGTAGTGGTGGTAGTGATGATAGTGGTGGTGGTGGTGTTGTGGTGGTTGTGGTGGTGGTAGTGGTGGTAGTGATGGAGTGATGATAGTGGTGGTGGTGGTGTTGTGGTGGTGGTAGTGGTGGTAGTGGTGGTGTAGTGATGGAGGTAGTGATGGTAGTGGGTAGTGATGGTAGTAGTGGTAGTGGTGGTAGTGGTGGTAGTGGTGGTAGTGGTGGTGGTAGTGATGGTAGTGTGATAGTGGTGGTGGTGGTGGTTGTGGTGGTGGTAGTGATGGTAGTGATGGTAGTGGTAGTAGTGATGGTAGTAGTGGTAGTGGTGATAGTGGTGGTGATCCTTGTAGTTTAATCAACAAACATTCTTGAAACAATAACAACTTACCTTCGTGAGATGTGATAAATCTTGACATCTCAGAAACCAGCATGAAAAAAAGTCAGATCAGTATCGTATATCTACAAAACATCTATTGAGTATCTGCATAAATATCTCAAAGTATCTGCCGAGCGGACCTCTTATGTGATCCTGTGTAGCAGATAAGATAAGATAAGATTTCGTTCGGATTTTTAACCCCGGAGGGTTAACCACCCAGGATAACCCAAGAAAGTCAGTGCGTCATCGAGGACTGTCTAACTTATTTCCATTGTGGTCCTTAATCTTGTCCCCCAGGATGCGACCCACACCAGTCGACTAACACCCAGGTACCTATTTGCTGCTAGGTGAACAGGACAACAGGTGTAAAGAAACGTGTCGAAATGTTTCCACCCGCCGGGAATCGAACCCGGGCCCTCCGTGTGTGAAGCGGGAGCTTTAGCCACCAGGCCACCGGGCCACAAACTACTAAGTCGATTCTTAGTGAGATCACACGAGTCTTTGATTCCAATTAACTCGTCTTAAAAATGTCTTCATCGTGCCATTTATATCTGAGAAACTATAGGAATTTGTGAATTGTTCCAGCTACTGTTCTGTTCCAGCTACTGTTCTGTTCCAGCTACTGTTCTGTTCCAGCTACTGTTCTGTTCCAGTTTCGGCACTGTTCCAGCTGCAGTAATGTGACAGCGACGGTACTGTGGCAGCTACAATATTGTTCCAGCACGGCACTGTGGCAGCTACAATACTGTGGCAGCCACTGCATCGTGGCAGCCACGGTACTGTGACAGCCACGGTACTGTGGCAGCCACGGTACTGTGACAGCCACGGTACTGTGGCAGCCACGGTACTGTGGCAGCTACGGTACTGTGGCAGCTACAGTATTGTTCCAGCCATTGTACTCTGGCAGCTTCAGTATTGTTCCAGCCATGGTACTGTGGCAGGTGCAGTATTGTTCCAGCGACGGTACTGTGGCAGCTACAGTATTGTATCACTCACGGTACTGTGGCAGCTACAGTATTGTTCCAGCCACGGTACTGTGGCAGCAACAATATCGTTCCAGCACGGTACCGTGGCACCTACAGTATTGTTCCAGCACGGTACTGTTACACCTACATTATTGTTCCAGTACTGTGACAGCCACGGTATTGTGGCAGCCACGGTACTGTGGCAGCCACGGTCCTGTGGCAGCCACGGTACTGTGGCAGCCACGGTACTGTGGCAGCCACGATACTGTGGCAGCCACGGTACTGTGACAGCCACGGTACTGTGGCAGCCACGGTACTGTGTGTTTCATTCTTCAAATACTTCTGGTGATGCAACGGTTAAGCATCGCTAAATGGTATTGTGCTGGCAGTGTATTGTGTTGTTAGGCGTATTGTGGTGGCAGTGTATTGTGTTGTTAGGCGTATTGTGGTGGCAGTGTATTGTGTTGTTAGGCGTATTGTGCTGGCAGTGTTGTTATCTGTACTGCTGCGTCAGATGTATCAATCTGTCTTTTCCAGCCTCATTACTTCAACTCTGCTGACCTGCTGACCTGCTGACCTGCTGACCTGCTGACCTGCTGACCTGCTGACCTGCTGACCTGCTGACCTCGGCTTCAGCTTCACGTGAAATGACCTCATGAATGTTAATGGGAGGTTGGCTTCTCCAGCCTCGGAACTGACTCTGACGGCATGTCGAGCCTAGCCCAGTGAATTCTATGCATTTCGAATAAGGGGATAACACAATCCCCATATCAGTAAGGCATCAGCAGGTGTCAGGAACGTGTAAGGAGAGCGTCAGGGAGGTATCAGCAGGCGTCAGGGAGATGACAGGAGGTGTCAGGAAGCTCCATCTACATTTTATCCACCTCCTCATAATTTCAAATTTAGATATTGATGTAGAGAACGAAAAATATCTGTGAACTTTTACGTTCTAAATCAGTACACACAAACACACATCAACAAATCATTCTATATACAAGTATCATCCTCAGTCATCGTTCACGGTGTTATCCCTTATGGTCAATCATTCTCTTAGGGAAAGATAACTTTCGCACACACGTTTTGTCTTTATTCCGTAGAATGATTGCCAGTTGATGCACCGTCATCATGCTTCTGTTGTCGAGTGATGTCGACGGCTAAGCTGATCACTGATCGACGCAGCATAACCCACCAGTGTTGTCGTGATTAAGGTGATAACTCTGAATGGATGGCTGTAAGTCTTCTGGTAAATAACCCATGGGGGGATTATTAAACCCAGGGATATCCCAGGAAAGCCAGGTACTGTGGCAGCTTTCATGTAGGGTTATGTAGGTCTCATTATCTAAAAAGTGACCCACAGTAGTTAAATAGGTCCTTAAGTACCTATTTAAGGCTAAGTGTATAGGTCAAGTTGTTTATTATGTGTGTGTGTGTGTGTGTGTGTGTGGAACACACACACACACACACACACAACAACAACAGAGAATCCCTTATAAGTACAAATGCTCTACAAAAGCCCTTCAACCACGGAATATCGCTGCTCTCACACTCAGCAGACAGCAGCGTTACCCTCACAGACAGACAGACAGACAGACAGACAGACAGACAGACATCTTCATAACCAGAGCCTCATATACAATTCTTTCCTCGCTCCTTCTCACACACACAATCTCTCCTCACTGCTGTATTAACAAAATCTTCTGATAAAATTCAACACATGATTTTTCTCCCCTTTCATTTCATGCTAAAAGAAAATGTATTGTGTGAGTGTGTGAGTGTGAGTGTGTGAGTGTGTGTGTGTGAGTGTGTGAGTGTGTGAGTGTGTGAGTGTGAGTGTGTGAGTGTGTGAGTGTGTGTGTGAGTGTGTGAGTGTGTGAGTGTGTGAGTGTGTGTGAGTGAGTGAGTGAGTGAGTGAGTGTGTGAGTGTGTGAGTGTGTGTGTGTGTGTGTGTGCGTGTGTGTGTGTGTGTGTGTGTGTGTGTGTGTGTGTGTGTGTGTGTGTGTGTGTGTGTGTGTGTGTGTACTCACCTATTTGTACTCACCTATTTGTGGTTGCAGGGGTCGAGTCATAGCTCCTGGCCCCGCCTCTTCACTGATTGCTACTAGGTCCTCTCTCTCCCTGCCCCATGAGCTCTATCATACCTCGCCTTAAAGCTATGTATGGTTCCCGCCTCCACTGCGTCACTTTCTAGGCTATTCCATGGCCTGACTACTCTATGACTGAAGAAAT